TTAGTTTTTATATTTCCAAGTTTAATAGTTGGAATGATTAATGTTTCTGCTAAAAAGAACACAAGTCTTGATGGTTTAATGCAGTTTGGTTTGCAGTTCAGAAATCTTATTCAGCCTGTTTTACATGGACGTTTCTGGCGAAGGGCCAACAGGGGCCAGGAACCCTATAGCACCGATCCTAGCCCCTGTTACGGCCCTTGTACTGACGGCAGAATACAAAGTAATTTTCTTACATGTGCTTTTACAGGTATCGTCACTGACGAGGCCATTGGACACCTTTCACTTTTTCTCTACACTTCTGCTTTAATTATTATTTTTAAAATATGGTAATCCCTTCCGTCGTATTGAGAGGGATCCCAGTTTTCATCTGCCAAATATTTTGAGCCAACTTAAACTTCTGATTGATCATAACTGATCATTTAAAATAATAAGTATAGATAATAGCCCTTATATATCAGTAATGACATAATATTCCTAAGCTTTGTTTTATCTTTCCTTTTTACTCCAAAGACAATAAGAATCATACTTTTTATAAAACCCAATATTTCACTTTGGTTCAACTTTATTGTCCATAGAGATAGGAATTATATAACTTTATAAAGAGCTTCCAACAATAAAGAAACTCAGATATTTTGTAACCTGCACACTGCAGTGCAATCCTATACAGCGGAGGTCTTCAACAGGGGGTCCGTGACTCCTAGGGGGTCACGAAAATGTTGTTTTATTTAATTTTTTTATATTCTGCCGTGCAATTTTTTCCACTAATGGAAATATCTTTAAACCCATATTGACATTAATTCAACACACCGTAGTAAACAGATAAATGGAGGCAGAAGATGTCTTTCAGTCATCAATGCACACATTCAGCGACACACAGGAGCTCTTTCAAGCTGGGCACCGTTTCATTCACAACACCTGTCCCATCAACCAGGAATCAGAATCAGAAATACTTAAATAATCCCAGGGATAAATTACTTTCATTACATTACTCCATCTGTAATAGAGCGACTATAGGACCAGTTTGATATGACACATTTCATACAATATATATAATTAGGGCAATGGCATAACGACATTATCTGGGTGGGCCCCATATGAAGTACAACAGGCTCACCATCATGTTGAAATCTGCCATGTGTTGGGGTGTAAATGAGTTCTGGTTAGTTAAGTTAGTATCAGGTAGATTTAGAAGGAATTTTTTGCACCATTACATCTGCAAAGAGACGCCCTAGTCCACAATTGTGTAGGGGGCCAACCAAGTGTCAGTGACGGGACCCCTAAGACGTCAGGGGCCCCTAAGCAACTACAGTCTCTGCTTACCGGTTGCACCATTGAATTATGGGGTCCCTGATCCATCTCACCATCGGTTTTGGGGGTCCTTGGCCTGGAAAATGTTGAAGCCCCCTGCTATACAGCATTGAGTAGAATCGCTTATTTGTTTTTGTAACAGCAGCTTGTTCTGTGGTGTTGCATCTTTGGCCACGCCCATTATCAAATGCTTAACCAATGAAGACACATTCATCAACACATGGTTTTATTTTGCTACTGATTTTTTCAGTTGCTCTTTTCCATGCAGGATTTTCCATTTTAGTCAGAGTTAAATTGTCATTTTGAAGTAATAAATACTAATATTCACGTGGAATAACATAGTTTTGATTAAACTAAATTAGGTTGAAATTTCCCTTCATGATTTTTGGCTTCAAATTTTTTTCTGTCCTTCTGTGAATCTATGGAATTAGGTCTAGAACAACCACTAAAGTTTTATTCATCCTGAGTTAAATGGATTGGCTGGTTGGAAGAATAAAGTGCATCAAACTGGGATTTCTATCGTAAAGACTGAACATAAATCTATGAAGGAAACTAAAGAGAGATTATTACAACAAAAAGAAGGATTCAGAGTCTATGTATGTTTATGTATGACTTTCCTCTGTGTGACTCCCTAAAGACAAATATATGAAAATCTTTAGTCTTTTTGTCCTAACGCCTACAATGGGAAACAGGACTGCAAGTCCAAGCTTGATCTCGTCTTTCACTGACTGGAACTGATGAAAACAAGGGAGTGATGATGGAGAAGAGTATATTATACTAAAATATTACATATATTGGATACTAGATGGAGCTGAACATAAATGCGTTTAAAAACAAAGTATGCTAAAAAAACAAACATAAACCTCTATTTTTATTTTTACAAGTCAAAATTATTTGCAAATTTTTATTCTAATGAAGCAGCTGCATGAACAGTGGCGGTCCTAGACTAAATGTACCAGGGGGCCAGGAGGGGGCCAGCATGAAATAAAAAACAGGGCAAGGGATTCAAATATATTAATATAGCAGCATGAAGTGAAACATCTATTAAAGTAGATTTAATTAAAATAATTAAAAAAGTCTTATTAGATCAATATACATTCATAATTTAGGAATTTTACATATTTTTGACTTAATTTATAGAATCTGAATGAGAACAAAAAAAAAAGATAAATTCAGCTTTTTTTGTGTGTGAAAATAACATTTAGCTGATGAAAACTGGGATCATATCTCTATCGCAGTGAAGCTATCGCCTTATTGTTTTGAAATAATTAGTAAAACAGAATTTGTGAAGAAAAAAAATGAACTCGATCCAAAGGACCTATCAGTAACCATGTTTGTTCCAGCGCATATCATCATTAGAATTTCTTCATGTATTTTATCTTCAGTGTAGGGGCCATACCAGCTGGCCCCTGCCTAGAACCGCCCATGTGCATGAATGCATCCTGCAGGTTCCTGCCTGCAAAGGGTGCAGAGTCTAGGGGGGGTGAAGGTATCTTTTTCTGGCTGTCAAAGCGCATTAAATCCAGGCTCCTGCCTTCATTCTGCATTATTCACTCTAACTCTGCTCTCACACTGCTGGCAGGGGGAGGAGGACGAGGATATTTTTGGGATCTCACCTGTTTCCAAACCAAATTGGGCAGCAGCGGCGCGCCGATTGAGAAAAACAGACAACAATAAAGCGCAGAAAAGGAGGAGGCGCGCATGCGCGGCAGCGATATAAGTTTGAAATCTGACAAAGTTTAATAAAATCCAAAGCTGCTGCATGGCAGTGTCACTTAATTACACAGAGCGACTAACAAAGTATAATTCACTGATGTTGCAGCATCGTTATCCCCACTGTACAAAGAGCTCGTGAATCAAACTAGAGGAAATTGTAGCGGAAACTGGACTCGATTATTTTCAAAATAAAACCATATAGGTGATCAATAATAGGAAATACATTTAAAAGCAATGGTGCTTTAGCAGAGCTTCTATACCAGTACATAAGTATCAGGTAATGATGCTTTTACCTATTTCTAGGGGATGTTTATAGTTCAGCATATCCAGGCTTTATTTTCCTTTATGTTTGGTTTTATTTCTGAAAAGGGTCTCAGGCCTGTTGAATCAAAACCCAATTTTAGAAACCAATGCATTATAATAATAATAATTGAACTTCATTGTTTGCACATTGGAGAAATTAACTGTCTGCATTTAATGCATCCCCTTTGGGAGCAGAGGACTGCCATTGTGCGGCGCCCAGGATGCAGTGTGGGGTTAAGGGTCTTGCTCAGGGACCCAGAGGGCAGGCTGTGGGGATCAAACTGGGTACTTGCAACCTTCTCAGAGCACAAGCACCAGTGGTGTCAAAAGTACA